GTGAACCCAAGGCGCCTGTCAATGAGACATAAAACCGACCACAGAGCAACTTCTGGGTCGCTGTCTCCTCCCGTTTGCTCTGCATGTCAAAGGCTGCTGGAATAACGATCTGATACACTTCTTCTAAATGCATCGACGAAACACCTACATATAGAGGTTGTCATGGAACAAATATTGCCATTCTTGATGCAGGCATCAGGCTTCGCTGCTGTGGCAAGGTCTGGAAGCTACGCAAAAGACAAAATTTGGATTTTAAGGTTTGAACGGCTGCTGCATTCCCCAAGATTAGAGTGGCCTCAGCTTCAGCAACTGGCGGGGTTTAAGGTCATGTCTTGATGCAGCGGCGTTCTGCTGGAGTAGGCTGTCTTGAAAAGTGTGAGCACCTTGTACATCCTGAGACCGGCAGGACAAAAAGTTACGGCTTGCCAGGAGACATCAGCGTCTTTACTTCAACCAGCAAACACTACTACTGACGCTGTTACGTCTAAAGCTCTTACGACGAAGACGACGGCGAGGACGACGGCGGTGTGTGGATTTAGGGTTTGGGTTTCTTCAGATACGTAAGAAACACGAGTTTCAGGGTTCGGTCTTGCTTGTTTAGGGAGCTTTGCTTCAAGCTTGGGGAATGGTCGGTCGGGCAGGTATCCGCGTTTTTCCCTCCATGGCAACTACCTCTTCCACGCCTTCTTAGGTACAAACTCATGCGGTGCAAGTGTCCACATACAACGTCTAGCAGGACGGCGATGACCACGACCACGATAACGACAAGAACGACAAGAACGACGTGTGCAAGTGAGTCAATTTTTTGAATACATCATTTCTTGTACTTATGATGTGACGATTACTACATGAATGCTTTCTCCTATTACATGAAGTTTGGATGTTTGTGTGTTTAGCACTGCTACTAGCTAAAAAGAAGTGCTACGTAGTGCATCTGCGAAGGTAGATCCGAAGGGTCCTTCTGTTTCGCCACCGCCCTCCTGGCCGCACAGGCAGATCAGAGTGCATTGTTTCTTCAACGTTTCCGGCACTTCTGCAATCCACACGCAAGCTCGAAGCTCCGGCTGCTACCTGTAAGTGTGAGACTTGTCGTTCGGCACCTCCTCTCAAGGCAGCATCCATTTTCAAAACAGCATGATTTTTGTCGGAATGGTACGTGAACATGTTTGCCACTCTTGTCATTCTCACCGCGCCTGCTGCAGCAGTAGCAGAAGCAGATGATTCCCCTTGAGTTGAATGGAAGGAAGCTGCCTCGATGGCCTTTGCCAGCTCCCCGCAACGTTGTGAAGACCTCGTCGCTTCTGCGGCTTTTTGAGGGCTCATAATTTTTGAGGGATTATAATTAAGGACTTCGGGTTTTGGCGCAAAGAATGTAGGTGCCGGGGCCGTTTTTTGCAGCTTCTGCATGCCGAGACTTTCTCTTTAGTTGATTAAGCAGCTTTACGTGCTCTGACTGCTATATCCACCCTGCGCCTGTCAGTCTTCGAAGCTGTGTCTTTCCTCTGAAGCCCATAAGTCCAAACCCAGAGTGCCAAACGGCAATCGCGACTTTAACTGCCATGTTTGGGGTGGGTCTGTCTCAGTTTTCTAAGCCTTCCTTGTTTAATCCATTCTCACATTTCCTTGCCCAAGCCGCCTCAATCCTCCGCACCCTGTACGGCAAACTCCACCCCTAAATCCTACACTTCAAACCCAAATCGCAAGCCCTAAATCCTGCACACCAAACCCTCAACAGAACATCGAAATAGCATTACAAACGGCAATCATGGCATACTAAAATTCCAAAGCATAAGTAAGAAGTCTTACCATTATAAGAGTTTGTTGCCCCCTATGCCCAACCCTTCCTCCGGGGAGCTCACACAGCCAAGGCCCCTGTCTTATGTAGCACCACCAAAGCCTCTGGTGGTGGAGACCTGGTTGGTACAGACAAGCAAGCGCCACTAAAGGAGTATAAAGGGCTATATTGGTAAATAGGGCTCAGGCATTCCAAAAAAAAAGGTCCCCTTGCAGGACCTTTGAGGATTACATAACAGCATAGGGCTGACTGCAACAACTAGCAGTCCCTACAAAAAACATGGATCCTACATCCGTTGGAGTAAAGCCCAGGACGTCGCAAAAACAAGAGACTTCCTATTTCACGGGTTTACCTGCGTTGTGGAGCCTGCCTGTGATTCAGTACACCCCCGCTAACAACGCAACAGCTCTCCAAAATCTAAGACTTAGAATCTTGGTATATCTTTGAGACCTCACGACCGACGCATAGGCCTGAAGGCAGAATGACAACCTTGCATCGGCTTATAGCTTGTACGCCGTATCTGCGCACCACAGTGATCCTTCTTGTCACTCTGGAAAATGGGAAGTTGCAGCTGGTGCAAGACAACACTACAAATCATTTATAGGAGCTCTGGGTACTGGGTTAGAGATTATGGCAAGTACTGCCATGCCTCCGGTTTTACAATTCCCTGCAGCTTCAGGCCTGATTCAGACTCTCGATTGGGAAGATTGGGTTGGGAGTTTGCGGGAGAACATAGGAGGGTAATGTAATGCAGCAGATGCAACAGGTCTCTGCGGCGTTGATTTAAAATTCCTCATCTCCAACCGACGTTCTCGCGAAAAAAAACATGCGAAACTTTGGGACCTGTTGCCGCGCATGTTTCTGATAGCTAGTTCGATGAGCCGCCCGGAACTACAACATCTAAATCGGAAAGCCGCTGACTTTCCCCAACCCTGCTTCAGATAGTTAATTCGAATGATTGAACCTGGACCTTAAAACCTCAAGTCAAACAATCTTTGAGCCTAGGCTGATTTGAAACCAGAAATTCTGCCCTCTGCTTACACAAGACTTGCGAAAGGCCATCACTTCCAGAGCCAGACTTCAGAATTCTACTGCAAATAAGGTTTCATTCCTCCTGCCAAGGGTTCAAAGAAGAATGATGGAATCAAAGCAGAAGGTTTCAAAGAGGTACCGGGTTCTTAGACTCTTTCTGCAAACGCACATCTTCCTGTCCTGGCACTCCATCCATACATTTCTCGCTGCAAGGAGCTTTAGATCAAGGCTCTGAGTTTTAGTGTGGAACATGGCCAAATCGGGATTATAAGGGGATTCTGAGGGTTCCAAATTAAGGCATTTGGAGAGGATTAGGAGAAACTCCCATGTTCCTTGAGCTTCGTGCTTCTCTTGTTCGCCTTCGTCCGCTTGCGCCTCTGCAACAGCAATATTGGCTGTCCACGGATGTTGAGAAAATGTGGTAAATCGCAGGTGATCTCATGCCCTATCTTCCAAACAGAATCCTAAACCCTAATCAGAGGGGTCTACTTTAAAGTTCACCCGGAACTAACCCCAAACAAAATAATACATCCCTAATGTGGCGGAGTACCCGGGAATTCATTCATTTATGCAATTATAAAGTTCCCCCGGGAGAGCCTGTGCTAGAAGTCTAGGGCCTAGGGGGGAAAGGGGTTGCCACTGCCTTAGACATGTCATCTTCAGCCCGTGTGGCGAACTTTTGTCCTGTAGCAGTACTATCCGTTCCTCAGGCACCTAAAAAAAGGACCCTAATCCTGGAAAGCCCAGTGCAGTTTTGATCCCCGGCCATCTGCCTTTCAATAGCATCTTCCGTGTAGCAACTGTGTGATTATGATGACTTTCGGATTCTGCAAAGCCAAATGGACCGCACCTATCCATAGATTAAATACGTGTCAACTTCTTTAAAGTCACGGAGCAACGGATATGCTAGAAACCTGCCCAAAATCCATTCTTGAAACATCTCTGCATTGCTAACTTAGAATGGCATGCTTCCAAGTGCGAGGCCGCGTATCCACCCCCCAAGCACTAGAAGCCTGGGTAGCAAAAGCATACAACATCAGACCTTGAATTCTGAAAACCCTCGCCTCATGGTCTGTAGTCATCGCACATCACCATCAAGCTCCGTCGCATCATGTATTCGTTCTTCCCCACGATGACCCCGACAAACTTCAAATGAACGAGTGTGCCTGCGTGTGTAGTTGCTAGAGACCTACCCCAAACACTGCAAAAAACCAGGGAAGAATGGAATATAACCCCTATAGACTCCCTATTTACCTGACCCCAATCCCGGAACCCCAAAGCCATAGCTCTACAAGTGCCCCTGGGCCTGAAGCACGAGGCCCTGTGCTACAGCATCACATGCGAAACGCACCTGGGCGCTGCGATGCCGCAGAGATGTTTGACATGTTCCAGATTCCATGGGGAATAGGGCTTCAAACGGTGAGCATATCAGACAGGGACTACAGTATGATGTTGGTTGATCGTTTTTTCGAAATCATTGGTCGCCTGCATGGTGCGTCTGTAACAGAGATGCCTTGCAACAATCACCCCACATCCAACCTGACCTGTGACCTGAATTCCTGGGGCAGACCTGAAATAGTTTCTTCAAAGCCCTTGTATAAGATTTCAAGATTCTCTCCTGCGGCATCAGTTCAGTGTGAGTCGAGCTGTTCCTGAATCTCAACTCCCCCCCATTGAGGTTACTCGTGGCAACATTCCCAGAAATTGGGTCCTTGCAAAAACATATTCATGAAAAGCAGGTGCTAGAACGGGTGGAAGGCATGTCTCCCAAAAAGCCCTGATCAAGTAGCATTTCTCCGCGCCAGTCTTTGAGTGTCCCTTCTTTACAACACTCGTCAACCAAGGAAGTTGCCGCGACACAGCATAATCATTGATGTAGGCTTGACTGTGGTACACTTGCCCATGCATCCAGACCACATTTTCTTTCCTCAGCTGAACTGCCGTAGACCCCTTGATTTTTTGCATCGAGTCCGTATAAACTTTCCTTGCATGGCCCCCTTTTTTTGGAGCTTATAATAGACTATAATCTACTATCATACATTAAAGGTTTCTATAATATACTATAATCTACTATGTTATACAACAATCTATAGTAATATATAGTAATATATTCCATTATAGTACATTATTGACTGCAGCTCCTGCCAGCTCTTCTTTTACGCGCGCGGAAAGATTACCTCTGCTCCCACCACCGCTTCGCGGCGTAGGCAAGGTACAGGGCTTGACCTGAGATCAGAGGCATAGTATAATATAGTGTATTATCGCATGATATCCTATGTTGTAGTATAATATAGAATTTTTATAGCATATTATAGTAGATTTTCGTATGTTATAGTATATTATAAGCTCTACATGGGAGTAAAAAAACACGACACAAGGAGGGCTCTTAGGGATTCTGGATACATGGCGATCACTGGGAGAGTGCAGTGGCTTCCTTGTGCATGATGTAAGATTAGAGAAGAGAGTCCCATGTTGGCAGAAGGTCTTATAACTTATATATTGGTGACATGATGTGGTGCCTCTCAATTAAGGGGTGGCGCATTCAGGGTTCCTTCTTCCGAACTCAGGTGGTAAGTTTCAAAGAAGTTTATGGCTGTTTTTTGGAGAGCCCTATGCAAACAGTCGCGCCAATCTGAAGTTCGGGTCGTGAGCTTCGAGCCAAGTCACCCACCACCAATGCAAGGACAGTGCCGTAAAGCGCATCGCCTCCCATGGACCTGCATCCAGGGAGAGCTGCCAGGGGCTGTGATGTACATGCTTCAACTGTAAAGGTATTTGTTCCTCAAAAGCCGCCAAATGCCACAAAGCCCTCAACAAAGGAAACTCGTTTTGCTGCTCCTGGTGGCAAACGCAGATCGCAGCTATCAGAACAATCACCCCTCAAATGCTAAGACATATAGTCTAGGCTGACAAGCCCTGCACCCCAAAGCCCCAACCAGTTGGCAATGTAAAGCATGAGGTAAGCCTACGAAGCAACATCAGAAAAGCATCACCAGAAAAGTTCCCGGGTGAGTTGCAACATGCTCCTGTAGGCAGACATCCTATTCACCTAAGCCCTACGCCCCCTGAATCCTAGCAAGTAAAACGAGCGGCAGGGTGAGAAAGAGGACCAACGCAGAGAGCAGCACAGGTCCTGACTGCCAAGCTTTGTCCATTCAATCAACAGAGCTCACTTTTTCTGGATGCAGGTGGAGGGCTTTGGAGAAATCTTTGCAAACGTTGCTTCTGAGTATCTGAGTATGAGGGCATGCTTTCTCGGCCCCCCACAAAAAGGATCCGACTATGTTCGGGATACCGAGGACAGGAGTCTGTGAACATTAACATCACAGGTCCCACTCCCCACGTCCTAGGGAAACCTTGTACATCGGGTTCATGGTCATGCAGCTGTTCCTGTATCCCCGCATACTATCCACTTTTGGAGGGCTACAATTTGGATCTCACCAATGTTGGTTGCACTCACCAGACATGTGATGAAACCTCGGCATCTGACATGTTGGCGCCCCCTCTTTTTGAGCCTGCCTTTTTTGGACCAAGGTTTGTCTGTACTTCTTGCGGGGTTGTTTTAAGTTTCTTGTAACATCTCTGTACACGCTGTCAGAAACGCTCTCGAGTTCAGAGGAGGACCCCGCAAAGAACATGCATAAGCCTAGCTCACTTTTTGCAATCTCCCTGGTCTTCAGAAGAGCCTTGTCCCGAACATTCATTAAGCATGCCATCATGTCATGTCGGTACTATATCTTCAAGCCTTTCGTTGGGGTTGTCTAATCTTAGGTGGAAGCCACAAATTCTCTGCAGGTTGTTTCTCTCCAGTGTCCTGCGCTCCACAGCAGGACCGCTGCAAAGCCAACCGGAAGCCGAAACGCGTCCGCGCTCTCCTCCACTGGCGTCTCCCACCTTCGTGTTCTCAACGTGGTGGCATGTCAAAGGATTCGGGGAGCATTTTAAAGGGTTGAAGAAGACTGTGTTGGGGTTGAGCTTCGAGCCTTCCTGACTGAGCGGGATACAGGTGGAAAGGCCTCGAAGATCTGGATGTATGTTTGTTTTGGCTTATGTTGTCTTGAGCAAGTCCTTAAAACGAGGCTTCAAGTGCTTAGGGGTGACCTCCATGTCGAGACGTTCCCATCTGACTGAGGGACCAGTCCCTTCTAATCCTACACCCCGAACCCTGAGACCTAAGATCCTAACCCCCGAGCTCTTTTTCCTTCCAGTGCTTCAGCGGCGGAGTGAATGTAGCTTCTAGAATACGAGGTATTTTGATTACATAGGGAGAAGTTCAGAGGATCAATCCTGACACTGATGCTGAATGGATTTGTTGAGTCTGCAACTCTTAGCTGTCTTACCCAGGAAATGTTGAGTGGGCCACGCCAATGGGCACAAGTAGGACATGAGGGGTACAGGCTGTTACTTTTGTAGCTGCACTCAGCACTCTGGTGTTGGCCCTCGATCTTGAGACGCTCAGAGACAACAACTTGTTTGCTCATTCCTAAAGCCTAAACCCTAAACCCTGCAGTTCTCTGGGTATATGGGGTCTTATTATGATACACCCAAAGCCATATTCTATCTACTTAAGGGGGGCTATATAAGGTCCAGGATGCTTCTGGCTAGTGCAAGGGAAGACATGCCACAGCCTTGGACTTGGGAAAATAGATGGGGTACTGCCCCCCCCACCCTGTAACAGTCGATAATAGGGGTCATATTCAGGGCTAGATATAACAATATGATACATTATCCATATGAAGGGCTAGATATAACAATACTATACATTATTCAACTGTTACAGAGTGAGGGGCAGTACCCAAGAAATACATGGTAGTTTCCCAAAATAAAGGGACCCCAATATAGACCCCCAAAAACTATAACCCTTATTATTGGGACCCCCAAAAGGGTTCTCCTAATTCTAGGAAACCCCCACATGTCGAGGCCTGAAGCGAATCCAGGTAGCAAACTGGATGATGAAGCTGACCTTGGCTTCTTGCTCGGCTTGACATGGCAAGAGCCCTGAAGGGTTTAGGGTTTAGGGCCGATATTACACTAATATGACCCAGTATAGTGGCTTCCAATTTCTTTTTCATTATCTCCATATAGCCCCACTATACTCTAGTAGCTTCCATTTTCTTTTCCATTATCCCTATATAACCCCAATAATTACCTTATAATCCCTATATAACCCCTATATAATCCCGTGGTTTCCATTTTATTTTCCGGTAGCCCTATTTAATACCCTATATAACTCCTAGTTGCCATCAAGCCACGGGGAGCCTGGGGGCCGGCACTACTGTTAGACTCCTTCTCCTACAGGCAAAGTTCTGGGTCCAAACTGTACAGCTGAGTGCCCAAGGGCAAGATAGGAGCTGATTTCAGTATGCCTTGAAATGACTTGGGTGCTTACTGCTGCAGCCCAGCATCCTGGCAATCCAGCCCCGAACGAGGACCACATCTTGACACAATTCCATCTCGAGAAGCTGTGAACAAACAATGAAGCCCTAAGCTGACTGCTCATTGGCGTCTCGCGTTTCCTGTGGCATCTGAAGTTTGCTGGTTCCAATTGATACAGAAGCGGAGGCGTAAGCTCAGTTTGCTGTGTTTGTAACCGTGCTTTTCGCAACCAGACTGGAACTGTGGGATTCCTAGATGCCGCAACCTCAAGACCACGCAATCAATTTCCAAACCTTCCACGTACTGTTTTCCATTCTGGTGCCCGCCATCTCTATGCTAAGTGGCACAGTCGAAAATGACGGTGGCAGCAATGAGCTCCACGAAATGGTAATTCAGAGTCAAGGTCAGCACCAGCCCAAACAGCACCTGGTGAGCTGAAGCATGCTATCTTTCGCAGCCTGCGCCACTCTTGTTTACAACTGCCCTGCAGGTGTGAAGTCTCTCTTTTCTATGCCCTTACCACGTAACGTGACAATCTTTCCTTCCTGTGGGCATGCACAAGTGCAGCGGAGTGTCTGTGCCGATGTGTGGTGTTTGCAACTTTGGGTGCACGGCGCCCAAGATCGCTGGCACCTCGGCAGATCACCGTACGCAATGTGCCGAATTGCCTCGTGGATTTTTGAGGGTAGATGCCGATCGGACCTTGCCTGCAAGTATTTGGGTTCTCATTCTCATGTATTGAGCAGGGTATTTTGTAGCGGGACTCCGTCACATTCTGAGGGTGTTCTTACATGCAAGCTTTACTTCCAGGGCTTGCTAAACTTGCCTAGCCTGTTGAGCCGTCTAACAACCTCCTACATGCGGGAATGTGCTGGAGTAGAAGTTGAACGATTTGCTGACCTCATAAGTTCTTCTGACGTGTTGCCCTCTCCGAACAAGCTCGAGACCTGGGAGGAATTGCAACCCTCAAGCTTATCACCGTGATACCTACGTAGACAGTCTGAGTATCAGTCATGCAAGATGCCCCCCCAAGGTCTGTCTAGCGGAGCATTTTGTGCTTTTCCTCTCCCTTATCCGGCCCACTTGTATATCAGAAATTCCTGTTGCCGGGAACTATCCTCTTCGAGACCAACAGAGCGGGACCTGAGGCTTGGTACCATTGAGGGAAAGGTTCGAGCTTGAACAGCATGGGTACCCTCTGGTATTTGCGCGATTTCGGATTTTCAGAAAAGTCGCCGGCTGTCCAGGCTGCTCGGCCATACAAATAATCTCGCGCACGGAGGTGCAAAGCAAAGCATTGAGCCTAAGCTGGAGGGTCTTGCACCTCCATGTTGCTTACAAGTATGATTCTGATGGTTATGCATGGGGCTATAACTAGCAAGAACGCCATGGCTGCTACTGGACTACCTAGACTACTGTCATATTCATTGCTGACGGACAGGTCAGGGTCTTGGCTGCAAGGTACATGGCTATGGCCCTTGGGCTCGAATCCACCTAGCATGTACCAAAAGTAGTCAATGTACTCATTCAAAACGGTTTTGTACATCAACCATCGTCTTGGAAAGAGTCTTGGTTACTCTACGTAGATGCAGGATCACAGGCTAAGGAGCACAATTCCTCGTGGGCAAGTAGGGAACGGAGCTGTACCTCCAAAAAGGGGTCCTCTACAATGCTTGAAGCTTGGAAATGGAAATCTCCAAAACGTACTGATACCCATCCAAAAGATACAGCCCTTTATTCTTGTCGGGCCCTCAAATTCTTGTGTAGGACGGCATCCCAGGTGCCATACTTTTTCACTCTGCAGCGTTTCGTGCCAAATAGGAGCACGGGACATGACATATTACAAGGTCTAGGGTTAAGAGATCGGAATTAAGGACTAGGAATCGGGGTGTGCTGTTATCTTTTATACGGGGACTGCTACGATGATTCATTCCCTCCTTCCCTCCCCGGCACCGGGTAGTGTCGCAGAGGCGGCAACTTCCGGCGGCATGGTTTTGGGCAAGCATGAACCACCCTGCCCAAACAGCCCTGAAACACGAACCTGGCTAACACCTCATGACTGGTGTTGAGGTAGTCTCAGCTGCAAATTGGGGATTTGCTTCTTCTCATGACTCTCCGAGTTGCGCTCTTTTCCTTGCTAGGCCGCGCTATCTAATCATCATGGCCCCTAATCGCCCCTGTAATGCTTACAAGGAAAAGCTATCCAAAGATTTGTGCAAAGGCGGGGTCTGAAATCAATGACCCCGCCATTCGCGGGCGAGCTCTTTAGCACAAATCCGAAAGTCCATGTCTCAACAGTGTAAGATGTGGTAGAAATCTCCCAGGCAACATGGTCCTTGCCGCAAGATTACTGAAGCCCTTTCTCTGCCCGAAATGGAAACAAGGCTAGTTTAACCAGTGGGCCCTAACGCCCTAGACTGTGAGCCTGTGAGCCACTATTGAACCCTGTACCTAAGCACTAAACCCTCAAGCAGGGGCCCAGGAGCTGTGCAACGGATGAAGCGAAGCCAGCTAGACTCAAGGCCTCAGATCGCTGACGAAGGCTGTACATGGGGTCCTGTTCTACAGCCTTGGGTTTCAGGGTTGAGGGTTCTAGGGCGGTTTTCCGAAGATTTTGGATTTGTAGAGTTTCTCTGTCATAGAAGTTATGGGCGGTAGGATAGGGGCTTTTAGAGAATTCAGACTAGTGGTGCGCAATGGGACGTCGGGGCCCTTATGAAGGTCCCTCTTGATGAGTATCCAAAATTGAGAAAGGCACCTGTGAGTTCAAGTATTCCTCGGCGCCTGTGATTGCAAAGATCCCTTGCTTGCTCACGTCGCCAACCTGACCGGGCTGGGGGCATCTGCACAATCAACTTCATGAGGGCTTGGTGAGTTGAAGACCCTTCATGCCTGATTCAGCCAAACTGCATATAGAAGAGAGCGCGCCCTTCACCATTGACGTGAACCGTCACAGAATTCCCCACGAGCATTTTTACACAGAAAGGGCTGGAAGCTCCAAACCACTGACTCATGACCCTAAGCCTTGCCAACACCTACTGCAGACGAAGACACAAAGCCGAGCGGCGCGCCACCAAGTTTCTCGCCTTGTCAAGAAGTCTAGGGTTTGCGGACTATGACTTAGGGATTTAGAGGATTCAGGGCTTCAACCTGGGTTCACATGTTGCGGCTTTTGGCTTTTATGGTTTTGCACTCATGGCGGAAGGCTATTTATTCTGTTAGTTACGGTGAGTGGCGTACCAGGACCTACATACGCATAATGGCCGTTTTCACACCGAAAATGGGTATAAAGGCTACTGCTATGAATAGCTAGCGCTTGCTTATTGATTTGGTGGATACCCGCCCGCTTCAGAAGCTATTGCCAGTAAACAGCGCGACAACTTTGGTTGACCCCTGTCGCTTTCTATGGAAACCTGTCAAATTGCAGAAGTCCCACTCATGTACACGACGGTTTCTGTCCATTGCTGATATGGCGGCAGGTGATTTCAGTATATTTCAGTATTGTGCTCACAAGACGAAAGAAACCATCATCAGGCCTTATACTTCCCAAGATGGAAGCTAAAAATTCCCTACAACATTGCAAGCTCATCGTATCCGAAATAGTCTATCCAGCCAGTTGAATCCAAGTTTTCGGGTCGGGTATATCAGCATCCCATAGTAGAGTATAAACAAACTGATCATATATGAAGGTATACCATAGTATATTATAATAGTATATTATAGGTGTTCCAACTTTCTTGGCTTCACCTGAAACCCTAGCAATCCCAGACATCTGCCGTGAGGCCAACGGTGGCCAGGAAGCCTTCCGCAGGCTTGGGCTTCAGCTATGCTACTTACCTTTGTAGCTTTCTGGGGCCACAATGTACCTATGCATCAACCCCTCTGGTCCCCAAGCTATATGCTTTTGTAGGTGCTTGGACACTCCGGGTCAGTGACGTCTTCTTCTGAGTTGCACACTCTTCTCCGCAAAGCTTTAGGCATGTCAAGATCTCTATGGGTTGGAGACTTTGGTGCTTCACGGGAGGGGGTGGTGTAGAAGATTCGTTAGGATTCACGGGCGTGTGCCACAACATGTTGTGCCTTTTTTGGGGACAGTTTGGGGGTACCTCGTCACAAGACCTGAGAACTTGTTAATGCTCTCAAAAGGTCCTATGACGTCCCATGGTCTTGCCAATTCACAAGTAGCACATGGTCTAGTCAGAGTGTTGACCGGCCCAGCCTGTAAGTTCCCAATGATAAGATGCAAGGAGCCTTTGAGCTCTCGTGTCAACTTGCATTCAGTAATGGCATAGATGTAACCGCCAGCTGTTCAAGTGGGATGCTCCCGGCACAAAAAACTGGCGAGAGACTGCAGTCGAAATTGCAGTCCAACATGTCATTAAAAGGGAGACGAAAACATTGGGTAGCCTTAGGGACTCTAGGGTGCATGGATACTACATGGGCATCGTAACAGTTCATTTTGGCGATTGCATTTAGGTTCTGTTGCCCAATATATGCGCATACCCCAATGCTCAAGTGAACCCCAACTGTCAGCGCGTGGTCCTTGCACTGAACACCGTTTGATCCTCCAGAAAGTACCAGAAATGGGTGGTGTGAAGTAGCCCAAGAACCACACGGCCAGGGTTTTGGAGATGTGGAGAGAAATACAGCTACAAGCAAACGTCCCAAAGACTAAAGACTTGCAACTGAGAATGGAGGTCAACTTTCGCCCAGGACAGACATGCGGTACTGACATATGCTGCGTAATGCATGACATCATGATATTACTGATGTAGTGTAATGTGTAACGACATATGACGCAAGGATGTAATACTGTACATGATGACAATCGTAGCATTGATGTGCGATTTGTATAAACTAAAAAGGAACCGCCGTAACAAGAATAAGGAACTATGAGGGGAAGAGGTGATTACAACAGTTGTGGTACCCTGAAGGGTCACAATGCCGAGAACCGAGAGGGCCCACTGACATAACCCTAGTTTCCACTTCATGTTACGTTTTCTGTTCCAGTCCTTAAGCCCTGAACCCTAAGCCATATAGAGCTGTTCATTTTCCTTCCATTCCCATATAGACAGCCGCACATGGATCTTTGGAGTCAACTATCCTAAGACCTACGTGATTCCTATACATGCATCTCTATGTAACCCGATGTATCCCTATGTAAAACTGCATACCTCTACACAACCCTGTATACCCCCCCTATATAAGCCTTTGGCAATGGTAAGCAAAGTGACCATCGTGCCAGCGCTCGGCCCGGGGATCGATTGCCACGCCAACAGACAACGGCAATACCTGCTTGGAGGTTCATAGGACTTAGTAATCACCTATAACCGGAAATGTAGTGACAGTTGGGGTAACCCCTATAAGGCCATTTAGGGGGTTATAAGCCGGGTTAAAACCCAAGTTATAAGTGTTACTAAGTCCTATGAACCTCCGAGTGCGCTCAGGTGGACTCCCCCACCCTGTAATAGTGGTATAGCAGGAATATAAGAGAACCCTAATCTAGTCACCAGTATCCTTCATAGTCACTATTACAGGGTAGGTGGTCCACCTATGGCATATCACGAAACACCTGTGTAGTGAAAGTTCCTTAAAACGGTGGGATTCTCTTTGAGATTACCCGTGCAGGTGCTTCAGATCCTAATGCTGTGTCCGACACCGTTTTCCTTGGAAAAAGCCCAGCTTTTGATATTTATGACCTTGTTGGAAATTCGATGAGACGTGAACATTGCGGTGGAAAGCTCTCGAGGGCTGCAAGGATTGGGCCTTGGGGGAGGGCCTCAGGTTCAGGTCAGTCCACAACTTGAAGCATTGACGCCTTAGGAATTGCTTCGAGTACTTTCATGATGTGGCTTTGAACAACAAGATTCTCCAACATCTCCGCGGCGTTTGATAAGGCAGTTTCAACTTTAGCCACATAGATGCTATGCCAAATGTAGTTTTTGCTGGGCTGTGAAGCCAGCAAATGAGCATTCTACAAGCCATCAATGTGCGTACTATATTTCAGTCTTCATCAGAATGGACACCACGAACGTTGCTGCAATTTCTTGATGGCAGTAGGTATCAAGCACATGTTATCCTGAACTCCACTCGGGAGGAACCCAGCCCAACTCCTGTGCAGCAACTCCAAAGCCCAAAGCCCTCAACCCGCAACAACCTGGGTCTTCAGCAGCTGAACATGCGAACCCCTATCCATACCCTATTATAATGTAGTAGTGTCCATGTTTCGATTATCCCTATGTAATACCCTATATAACCCATTATAATAACTTCCATTTTCTTTTCCATTATCCCTATGTAAGCCCTATATGGTTTGTAAGTTTGATTTCTTTGCAGACTGGATTCCAAGGAGTATCTTGCCTAGTACTCCTTAAGGCTTCGTGCTGCAAGCCTATAAATTCCCTCTCTCTGCCGATGCTTGGATGATTATCTTTGCTGTTGCTGTTATTACTACTATTATTTTTATTACTATTACTACGGGATGACATACCAGAGAACCCACCTCTAAAGCTTAAACCTTAAATCCCACCCTCCGAAGTGGGCCCCCAAGACATCAGCGACAGGCGGCATAAAGGGCTGTGACCAAAGCCACGGAGATCCCAAGCCTTGGATCCAGCTCATAGGGCTAAAAAGTTCAGGGTTTAGGGTTTAGGGTTTTGGGGTTTAGGGTTTGGCGAGATGCATTCTGTAGAGGCTTTCAAATGGAAAAGAAAATGGAAAATGACATGGAAACTGCTGTTTAGGGCTTCAGGTATTGGGTTTAGCTGGAAAATTAAAACTCTACATCCCTTCAAGGGGCATAAAGGCAGATATATAGGAATATTACCCTAATAATGGCAAAGCCCCACTAATACAATAAACTATCGTGAGCAAGCCGCCATAAATTCAGTCTGGACTTTAAACAACCTGAGGCTTGAACAGTTCGCCTGTCATCTATATAAGCTGGATACCAAATTGCTGCAGTGTAATCTCTCTGGAAGCATAGCTTTCCACCTTGCCAAACCCTAGGCCCTAAACCCTAAACCCTGAATTGTAGCACTCCAGCAAGGTAGGAGATTGCCTTCATCTATTCGCCAGGAGGAAATGGTCTTGTTTGATTTCAAAGGGACCCGACAAGCAAGCAGAGAAATATCAAAGTTCGAACTAGCAACTTAATGATGTCCCTGCCTGATGGTTTATTAACGGTCAGGATCTGCGCAAGACCATGTAAGATCCGAACCGGCAAACCAGTTTGCATGGGTTCATAACGCAACTCCCTCCTCGAAGAGCCACTTCACCACTAGAGGGATATTTATGGAACGCCCTGCTGTTCCCAACCAATGCAAGATCGTCAGTTTGTGCCATAGATCTCGGAGGACCCCCTCTACTACCCGTGGCCAGCCTGTCCCCTATGTCAATTTCAAGCTAAATGGTAGTTTCCCAAAATAAGGGGACCCCAATATAGACCCCAATATACTATAATCCTTAATATGGGGACCCCAGTAAGGTACCCCTTTTTTTTGGTAAACCCCCAAATTCCCTCAGCCTCTCCATATCTGGCAAAAGACGCTCTGGGATAGATTTTTGATGGAGCCCGCACCTGACCCAGGTCCAGATTATATAGGGTTATATTGGGTTTATTAATGGGATAATGGAAAAGAAAATGGAAACCCTAGATCCTTTTAAAGGGATTATATAGGATTATGGAGGTTATATTGGGTTTATAATGGGATAATGGAAAAGAAAATGGAAACTACTATAGTATATTGGGTTTATAATGGGATAATGGAGAAGAGAATGGAAACTACTATAGTATATTGGAATTGTATTGGGATAATGGAAAAGAGAATGGAAACTACTATAGTATATTGGGGTTATATTGGGATTCTATGCAAGAATGCTGCCAACTCACGGCCCTGTACTTGGGGCGGACTGCACAGGCTGTGAAAAGTCCATGATTTCTCCTTTCCGTTCGTATTGCAGTCCCAATTGCTTGGGCTCGCGGCGCCTAAGATAGAGTTATGCAATCAGATCAATTTATCTACTGCTTGATGCGCGTCAGGAGAGAGGGACAAGAAACCTGCCACATACAATGAGCCATTGCTAGGTGAATCAAGTCTGTTCGGCAGCCTTCCACGTAGACAAGCACTATGACCTCAAGAGAGGAGCTGTGAAAACGCAATTTCAAACACCTACTCCAAAGCGACAACAGTCCAACCCGCTAAACCTTTAACCTCAAGACCTAAACTGCTGTCGACCTCCGCTGGCCGCCAGCCACACCCAGACCCAAGGCCCTGCACCTTGCAACTTTAGCCCCCGAACACGACCTTCGCTGAGAAGGAAAGCACGGTTTATTCAGGTTCCAAGACCCCGCGACCTAAGAAACCTATCAGGGGCCTTGCTTACTCCCGAGCCCTCAACTCTAAAAACCAAAGCCCAAAACCCTGAACCCTAAACCCTCATCCCGCAACCCCCAAAACGGTATCTGCTATCGCAAAATGCGTCCACCTCAGCTGCAGAGGCGCCAGCATCATCAAAGCCTGCCACACGCGTTTCGCTTTGTTTGCTTGCTCTTTGATTTTCTGCGGGTTGAGGAGGGCTTGGTGGATAGGAGCCGAGTTTCGAGATTAGGTTTGTGTATGGTGGTTGCACTCCAAAGGTCCAAGAGGCTCATAATTGACAATCTCGGATTTTGGCACTGGTATATATAGGCTGGGCTCAGAGCAGACCTGTGACTATTGGGTATCTGGACTGTCCGTACTGGAAAGTGTAGGGAATTCTGCCATATAACCCCAGTATAACCCCAATATAAACCAACCCAATATAAGCCCAATGTAACCCCAATATAAACTCCCTCGTGGTGATGATAGCCAGTCTTGTCATCAAATCGTGTGGGTTTGGGACAAGGACTAGTCCCCTTCCTACCCCCTAGTGACAAATATTCGCATTTCCAACAATACAGTGCTACATAATATGAGCTGTAGTCCAACTCTTTTAAAGGGGGTATATAGGGGATTATATACGGGACTACTATGGGACTTTTAAGGGGGGATACTAGGAGTTTAGATTATGGCTCATATACATGTGTGGTATTTCTTGAGGTAGTACTTATTGGTGCATGAGTCAGGGAATGTGATTAGGCCAAGAGCTAGGAGGCCAAGCTTCAACATTCAACATGAGGGGATGTCAAAATTCTGATCCCTTCTGGGGTCACATTTTTTTGGGGGGCCGTACTGCATTATACGAGTGACCCACAATAGGGACCATAATTTTGACGATCTAGAATCCCTTGAAACCCCTATGAATCTAGTTTTCACTTCATTTCCCATTGTCCTTTCCATTTGATGATCCCTAGGTCGGGTAATATTCTTCTAAACCCCAAGTCCTGAGTACTAGCTTACATTTTCTTGTCCATTATCCCCCGTATCCCTATGCCTCTGCATATCCCTATACCTCATACGAGCTACAGTCAACATTCCCAGATAGTTGACTGGACATGGGTTCCTTGTTAGGGACTATACTAGGGACTGTACTACGGATTGTGTGTCCCTACCTTTGTTTGAGGCCTCACAACCCTAAGCCCTAAACCCTGGAGGTCGGGGGGACTTAGCATGCAGGGTAATAACTGGGCTTAATGGGGTTAGGATACTGCTTGTCGGGCTTTTAGATATTCTTACTAAACCCTCCTGACCCTCCAAGTACCATGATTTGTGAAACTCTCGTTTTCGATGCCAAGAGTTTCAGCAAGAGATCCTGGACAGTATGATCTATCCCCAAACCTAGCATGGAATCCCACATAGGCCCCCTTCAGAAGGACAGTGTTCGTTTTGGGGTTCCATGTTCGTCTAGGGCAGTGCACTCAAGGTGCGACATGTGAAAGGGCAACTCTCAACGAGGGTCTTGCGACTGACTGTCAAAGACGCAATCACTGAGCAGGCTGTCGCTGTAGTGGGGCCCGAAGCACTGAACTGCTCAAACATGCCAAACGCAATACATCCCATCCACCATTCAAGACCGAAAGTAGGGCAAAACCAGCAGCAAGTGCAAATCCTGGGCTTCAAATTCACAAGCCAAACACCTGGCAGACTAAATTCACAGGGAGGGGCTACAGAATCCATGAAGAGTTTTTTCAGGGTCCTTTTGGCAAGGACCCTTGCGTTTTGAGATCTAGATTGGGCGCGCATTTTCAGTGCAGCCATACCCGTAGAATTGAATTGGGGTCCCCTTTTCCTCCCCCAGATGAAGCGATCCCGAATACAGAAACTCCCGAACTCCCCCCAAAAAAATCAGAAGCCCAAGCCTCGCTCCTAACACCTAAGACCCAAATTTCGTGCAACCTATCATGCAAAGGAAACCCAATGTCATGTGCCTGACGTGTTCCACATAAGCGAGGTGAGGAAATGCAGCCACATGACCTAGATGGTCATACAGGGGTCGAATAAATACGAACATCAGTTTGAAGTCCGTTCGAGGTACCGTGTACCAGAACTGTACAAGGAATCTAGAACCGTATAATTTTGTGAAATATCTAGGCCCCTGATGCCAGGGCTGAGGTGCCAGGATTGAAAAAAGGAATGTGACTCAAGGTTCAATCAGATGCTCCTACTCAAGGCTTACGTGACACATTTGGACATCCTGAGAGCGGACTCCAAAGAGACAGCTCGTCTTCGGATCCTCTCCACTCAGTTCACTCTGAATTGCTGTACACCTTTGACATTCAGCGAGTTCGGAAACCGAGGCGTTTGTTTTGGGAGAACAGGTGGAGGTCAACATGGGAGTAGAGGTTATAAGGCAAGTCATAGCGCGCACTCTGACTCTTACTTCTCTATTTCATCTAGTGGTGTCTCAAGATGGAGGCCCTGGAGATATTTGGAAGACTGCTCAACATGGGGGTCGCTCTTCAGAATTCTTGAGGGGTAATTTCAATAAAGAAGCTGTTGCGAAACAGAGCAAGGGCAACGTGCCCCCGTTTCAGCATTCTCAGCTCTGAAGAACAGGCAGCGGGAAATTCATGGCCAAATAGAAAACGCTGGCCGGGCAGCTTGTTTTACACGTAGGTACTACAGCAAGTCATCTTTTTCATGAACATTGAGTTCAGGTGTGCATGACAATGCATATAATGCCTGATGCCATGCCAGAACAACCCAGAAGTGTCAGACAGCTGGCTGAAAGCCTAACAGTGCCCAGGCAAGAATGGGGGCCAACACCTTCGTGGTGGTTAGTAGTGAAGAAGGAATTATATTGCTATATAATCCCTGTATACTATATTCGCCTATTCCTTACAGACAAGGACAGAAAATAGCAACAAAAAAAGCAGATAAACCTTCACCGGGTAAGGGGTTTATCATCTCAAAGCCCAAAGGCTTTACTCGTAAATCCCGCAGAGCTACATTTCAACACCTGCATTTGCGTGGTTGTCAAATTTATGGTCCCCTTTTGGGTACCCTAAGTATTAGGTGCCGTATTATAATAGAGATCCAAAAAGGGACCATAATTTTGACAACCATGCATCTCTCTATATCCCCACGCGAATTTCTGCCTTCAAGGAAAACGCAATGGGATGACCAGACCTTTGTAACCTACATAATCGGTGGGCCTCTGACAGTCTCACACTTTGAGAAAGCTCATAACGCTTCCCAAGTACGCCAATGCAAGCCCTACTGAGCATCACAAATTCCTAAGGCCTTCATCATGGAAAGCACATACCCCTTTGTGTCCCGTTAAGGGTACAACTATATATTACGATTTTCGTGGCTCCAACGGGACACTACATTGTCGCAGTCACCGATCTTCCTGAAGAATCACCAAAGCCAAAATCAAAACCCTCCTCACGTCAACCCTAAACCATAAAGGTAAGGCCTGATCCCTAACCTTAATCTGTAAACCCCAAATGTCAGCTGGAGTGTGCGCATATGAGCCATTGTCTAAACTCTTAGTATGCTCATTAAAAACTCCTATAGTACTCCCCTATATAACCCACTTAAGGAGTTTAAATTACAGCGCATATGATGGGGCGAAGTGACCTCTGGCAGGTCTGCTTGAGCTGGGAAGTTATCCAGCTCAGGCATGCCAATCCTAGAGCTGTGCCAGTTCTGGATTTTGTAATCCAAAAGTTTGGGATACTAGGGTTAAAGGCTGCAAAATTCCAAGGTTTCAGGATTTAAGAAACGGGGGTTTTGGCTTGAGGGCTCGTGCTAGTATGGAAGTGACTGATTGCAACCAGTGGCTACTGTTCCTGGCTGGCCCTCAAGCTGCCAAGGTTTGGTGGTTGCAAATTTGGAAGGTCTTCAGTGCCTTGCTTTGGGGCCTTTATTGGCATATTGGGGTTCTATTGGGATAATGGGAAATTAAATGGAAACTAGTATTTAGGGTTTTAAGGATTTTGGGTTTAGGGTTTGGGGTTAAGGGAGGGTGCTGAGAGTTCTTGAAACTATGCTGGACCCCTTTCAACATTCCTGGGCCCGTGGCCTTGTTCTTTGAGATGATGGCCTTTTCGGGGGCGGGTACGTTGCAGTCCTAGACATACCAATTTCGTGAAATTAAGGAGGGGATTCCGTTTTCATGCCTTCGATTATCAGATTTGAAAATTTTGGGGTTGGGCTTCTGTGGTCAAGGAGTTCGCATTTGGGGCTTTGGGTTCTGGTAATCAGGATTCATGGCTGATGGCTTAGCTTTCTTGCATCTTCTGATTTCAGCGTACTCTGGGGTGGAGGCCGGTCACAAAAGCAACATTTCTCTAACAAAATGCGAGTACATCTTCCGGCGATGTAGCCGCATCCAGAATGTCAAGAATCACCAGACATGATCCACAGTTTGGAGTCACGGCTTGCTTATGTCCACCACCAGGGGTGCTAATGCTTCTGAAATGCCCACCATCAGCAAATGCGGAATATAACTATACCCCGTATGCATTCCTTAGATGTGGATTCACGGTCGGTGCATGCTAGATTACTTCTTGCTGGCCAGCAGACGCGGGTAGTCTGACAGACTAGCAGTAAGGTGTGAAAGCTCATACATACTTGCTGGAGGACCCATGATGTCTCTTCATGACGTCCCCAAAGGACGTACGGATATACGTCCTTACGTTCACGTTTATCCTCAGGAGCCCAGAATATACCAATCAAATCCATACGAAGACCTTATCTCATGTGCCTGCACATAGATCAAGAGCGGTGGCCCAAAATGTCACAAACACTCTTGTCCAGATTCAATCAAGTCAGTGGAAACAATCAGAACATGTCACAAGAGTAGTGTTTTTTGATGGCTGAACCTAGTAAGATAATATTCCTTATATTATGAAATACTATACCCCAAATGAGGATATAGTCTTACTCTATCATGGATACCATAGTATCCCCAAATGAAATACTACTCGCAAGATAATCTGCCCAGGCACAGCACAAGGACCAGGGCCGGCAAACAAACTACAATGCAAAGGATGTAGGAGACGTCCCCAACCTGGACAAAGGTCTTAAAGGATCTCAGGCGTGAGGGACATCTTGAGATGTACAGATTGAGGGCGAGCAGATTCGGGCTTGGGGCTTACGAGTTAAGAGCTGAGGGGTTAGACGCCGGTCTGCAATGCCAGAAGGAGATCTAAGCGGAATCCTGAACAATAATCCGCCCAAAACACCCTCCCTTTCCCGGACGCACTCCTGCAAACTCATGAAAGAATGGTGACTTCTGCCCAAAGACTGAGCTCCAGCAGCCTTTCTGGACTCTGTAGACGTCTGAAGAACTGAGGATACTATCCACTCATCATCCTTAATATGAATACGCTATACCATACCTCGACCATCCTGTTCTAGCTGTTTAGGGCTTACATCTTGGCTGCAGCCCAGATTAGCGTGGTTTAGGTTGATTGCAGACGGGAATGACGAAATTGGCTATATGCAATGGCCTGATTTCTTCGTGAAGGATATAATTACCTCATCTTCATTCTGACGCTGTCCTGCGCAAATTCCTCAATACCCATCCGTCCTACCGGCTACGACGTACAGCTCCAGGGCCGAATGTAGCAAGTCCATGCATTACATGACAGGGACAGCTCCCTTCAGTTTGGAACGCTTTGCTTTAACTACTGGCGAGAGTGTACATCAACATCGCATAGTATTTCTCGTCTCACTTTGCTTCCCCAGCCGATCTAGTTGAACCCAACCCTTCCAGAATGAAATTCTCAAGATGATCCTGTGTTCGTGCTGCCCAGCGGACGATCTCCACACCCGCGATGTTCGTGACGACGGCCTCAGTCATACGCATGGCCCTGGTTGGCCGTATGCATGCATCACTTCCATCACAGAAGGTCGAGCTACAGGTAAAATGGCTGCATGTCGGCAAGCTGATAAAAAAAAAAGGGAAAAAACTTCTGCACAATCAAGCTCGCTACAAAAACACGTGCTGCCACACTTGAAGCAACCTTGTGACTATTCTTGCGATTGTTACCATCATTCCCCATTTGTGCTCGATCGGGATACGCTTCAAACAATGACCAACATCAGCTTCTCGCTGTCTTTTCCCACGCCTCCTATGTTCACTCTGTCCTGCCGCCCCAGTCGCCGCTGCGACCAGAACAAAGCTCGTCCACCAGCGTTGGGCAGAGGAGAGCGTTATGCCTGCAAAGCTCTAACTTTAAAACTCATGCTCCCTTCAGTGCCACAGCTGCCCCCGCTACCACTGGCGCCGCTACCACCGCCACTGCCCCCAGCTGCAGCAGCATCAGCAGCAGGAGCACCAACACCACCATCACCAGCAACAGTAGTAACACCAGTGCCTCCACCGATGCTGGCGCAAGCGTCAAAACCACAACCAGCACTACCACTACTCGTATTCGTGGGTACGGAAAGGATCTATGATTTTGTGACGTCGCCCTGTGCTGCGCCTAGAAGGACCTCCAGGTATCCAAGAGCCATCGCCGGTAGCGTGGCCACATCCTTGGCAGGAAGCCATCGGCAGCTTCTAGCCTAGCAGAGCTCATGATGAGCTCTGCTAAGGGCCAGATAAGTAGTGAGCACAGGGAAGGTCCAGATCCTGAGCATATGAAGCTTAAGTTTCCTGGCCGCATTGCACCATACGTCCCAGCATCTGTAGTGTGCTGCAAATGCACCTCTGCACGACAGTGAGACGCTAGATCTACAGTGCAAAGGTTGAGCACCCAGCCGTCTGAACCAGAAATCTTCCGACTCTTCTCAACATTCTTCCAAGTGTAGTGTTGGAGCCTACTTCGCGGTAGGAGAGGTACCCAATCTTTGGAGGGGTCCCTTGAAGAAGCGGTCTGCAGCTTGCGTGGTGGGTGGGGTTTGCAGGGCTCTTATTACATGTGCGAAGAAGACTGCTGCCTTGTTTCCAAAACGACTACGCTCCCTACTTTGCCAAACACACCTGTGGGGTTTATGTATATTGGTCAGATGCGGATGATTTATGCCCAGCATCGAAAACGTTGCTGACGGCGTTAAACCAGCCTCAGCTTGTAAAATGCGCAGCTTCTGCTATGCTGGACCTCATATGTCGTCTTGGCAGTTCTCGCCACCTCGTGGAATGTCATGTTTTGCCACGTGTCTGAGAAGAGCTTGCCCTGACAGATTTGAAGTTGACGCGAATTTGCACAACATGGCTTTCGTACTTGCCATGGAATGTTTTTTGCTTGCTTTTGTTGCTGCGGCAGCTGGCTTTCCTGATCCTCCTCCTCCTCCTCCTGCAGTAGTTTGTCACGACTACCACAAATCGATAAGGAAAAGAAAAAGCCACTACTGGGCGCTACTCCTCCTGGTCTTCCTCCTAGTTCAGCTGGCTCTGCTGTTGCTTGTGCTGTGCAGCCGTATGCACAATGTCGTGCCAGATCGTATACAGCCGTGAACCCCAAACATCTTCAACCCAAAGCCCAAAGCGCGGACTCTTCAATCAAGGGCCAGGCTACCGTTCATCCACCCAACCCAAGGGCCCCAGCACTTGTGGACGAAGTGGATCTTCCCACCTAGCCAAAAGAAAGACTCCAGGACAAGGTCGGAGGCTTAAGGCCTTGTGGAATCGTGGGGGGTCAAGGGAGTTGGGCTGAGGACATCAAGACGTGTGTGGCACCCAGACCCTTCATCTACTATTTCTGAACACATAGCCCTATTTAAGGGTACAAGGAAGGTCCTGGTATACAGGCCAGCTTGCGTGGGGAAAGCCAAGGGTGCCAGGAGTGTGAGCCATGGGCAGGATCCTCTTCCACGCAACGCGTCTGTCGATAAGATAACGGAGGAAACTTAGCAAGAGTAGTGACTCGTTCATGCAACTGGAATGGTGCACATCATCCCTCTAGGAGCCACATTTTTTTGAGTGGCTCAGATGTGTGCACTTCATAAAGTATCATTTTCAACTGCGAGACATCTTCATGCCAGTTGCTTGTACCGTGTTCTTTGCTTTTGGCAGTGTTCTGTAATTTAGGTGTCCGTACATGGCTTCATCAATGAGAACGTCTGTACCCTTTGCTGCTATGTTGCGGATGTTTGAAGTTCGCAGCTCGTTCGTAAATGTGATCAGCAATATTGGTACTATTGCTTTTACTTTCATCATTACGATGATGACGATGGTTCTTGTGAGCTGTACTGGCTGTCATTGTTACAATTATGATCGAAGCGTATCGAAGCGCACCATGTCTGGCTCAGCCTCAAGATTTGACCCCTGTTGTACACCGAAAGCCGTCCGAAAATGCGACACCCTGGTTTGAGAATCAGGCCGACATGAGGGTCGTGGCTGCATAGCTCAGCAGTCATCACCTCGACTGTACGCTGGACAGCGGTGCAAGCAGTAGTGCAAACTCCTTCCATCACCTTTCGGAAGCCAGTTCACACACCCCCTGGAGCCTATCTACTATCCTTAGGCTGTCTGTACGGTCCTTCATGCCGAAAGTGTGACTGCTGCCCACTCATGTGCTCCACAACCTGTTTCAGTCTGTCAACCTGACCACGAAAATCTTGGGCCTCATTTTCTGTCTGCCTACTGGGCCTATCATGCTGGCCTGTTCTGTGCCCAGGCTTTGCTAACGATCTACAAGGCACATTCGCAATTGGCTCGCAGAACAGCACCAACCAACCGCAAGTCTGACATGGGCTTTAGGTAGTAAGCCAACTAAATGAAGCTCACGCATACAGATTTCTCGCCATAAGCCTACGTATTCTTGATTGGTACATAGTCATCCTGAACCCGGCTCGGCACTTCCAATTCCAATCATTCAGGCTCACATGCGGGAATTTTCCTAGAAATTAGGGGTCCCTTTTTGGGGGGTGCCTATAATAAGAATTCTATTCGGGGGTCTATATGAGCCATGGTCTAAACTCCTAGTATCCCCCTATAATCCTTCATGTAACCCCTTCGCAAGGAGTTTAGATTATGGCTCATATTGGGGCATGTGCTTTCAAATTGCAACCCCAGGTACAGCGATGGGCAATGACCAGATCAGGGGGATGAGGAGAAATCCGAGGATAGCCAGTAAAGGGCCACCTGAAAGCAGGGTTTAGGGTTCAGGAGTTAGAATTTGGGGTTAATGGTTTTAGGCCTTGGGGTTTAGGGTAAGGCTGTAGATGCTTAAGCTTTGGACGTAGAGTCATTAAGGAGATGAAGTATAAGGCTTTACGACTGAACATCGTACAAGTAACAAGACAAATGCTACCCTCGGCATAAAGAAATGAGGGGCCGGGGATCAAGATTCAAGAGCTTAGCGCAGAAGACTAATAAGGTCTAAGTTTAAGGGTAATGGGATATGGTACCAATTAGCAACGTGTGCCGTAGTCTTGGAAGTAATACACAAGACAGAGGTGATTGAAATGACGCATGCCGCGCAGAATGGGCCTTTCCGTACGACCGGCTCGGCTCCATAGGGACCTCCTGCGACCTCGAAGAAAATCATACCCACCTGGGATTGATTATAGTATATTGGGATAATATAGGGATAATGAAAATAAAATGGAAACTACTATAGTATAATAGGGTATATATTAGGGTATATATACCCACCTGGGATGTATCGGGATGTGGTGGCTCCCTATCATTCAAGGGCATATACGGGTTGTATGTATGCTTTCGGATGCGGGCTCTTAGGATTGAGGGGTTATAGGGCCACATAATCGAGACGCGGGGCTTCCGAACATTGTGGTTCCCCGTTGGGCTTCCCAGAAAGAAGGCTGTATGATTCTGGGGCATTTGTGGATCATCCCTACTTGCGAGAGAGACCCATGTGGATTTCCGACAAGCACGTCGGTTTTTTCGCTATAAAACAACCGCCCCTGCTGTTTTTTGTAGGGGCTTTCGGCCCAGTCTCCACGAACTAATACAATGTAATCCCCTCCCAAGAGTTGAACACCCCCTCCACCCCATCCGAAACCAGTCTTTTTCCTCGGGTATCGTATTTAGGGCGTGGGGACCTTATGCAAACCCCAGGGCCCGCAAAATTTGTCCCAGTCTTCCCAACCCAATCTACACAGATGCAAACAATGTGCCTGTGGGCCTGCCTGGGCCGACATGAAGCCTTACACTGCTCCCTTTTTAGCTCACGCTCGTCTTTGTAGGGTGCTTTTGAAGCTACATCTAAGATTTTGGGGAGGGTAGTTCTGCCGACATCAGAAGGGTGTCCAGCGCTCGAGTTCCGAGAACTTCTCGGAGACCAGCGGGCTTGGCTGGTGGCAGTAGCCTTCGTTTTGGAAAACCATGTCTGGAAGAAGAGAAGAGGTTGAGGGTGATCTCACATGGGAACGCGTTCATCCAACAAATTCTATCCACATACTGCTGCTGCTGCTGCTGCTGCTGCTTCTGCCGTTCCTGTTGCTTCTGCGACTGCTACTACTTCGAAGACGATGACAAATGAGGAAGCGTGGCCCAAATTTCTCACTCCTCTTCAACGGGTCTATCTCACGGCTGGGACGTATACGTGTACCACGACTGCTTTGAGGCATATTTGATTTGAAGCAAGATTGCAATAATTATCTGATCCCGGAATGGAGTGTCACGTCAACACACCCAGCGTAAACGCTTGTGGAGCTGGAATTTGCTGGCCAGCTGTACATGTCTGGCTCCTTTGTCCACCAGATTGTCATTTACATGGAGGAGTGGGGTTCGAAACATAGTGGGTCAGGAGGATCCAAATCGCTTGAACTATTTTGGCGACTCTGCCATACGCTTCTTGACAGCTCCCTAGCTGTGATATGACATTTCTACCTCTTGTGGGCACCCTGTGGTGTTCATATGATATCCATCCTAGCAAGTGGCACTGCTGGGCTCCACTCCAGTGTGATTAGTGATTACAAAGGGGATGATTCGTCATAATCGTCCTCCTGCTATGGTGCTCCTCATCAGGCTGAATTATGGCTTGTATTGCAGAAGCCTGAGTGGTCGGAAATAATCCCATGGTGAAACTCCGTATACACGCTTCTAGCAATTTAGGCCCGGGAGTTCAAGAAATCTGGGCAGGCTTTTTTCCACCCATGTGTGATGTGCGCGTGAAACATGCTGCAGCCCACAGGTCCGTGGTCAGGTGGACAGTTGGCCGCAACAGGATGTATGAAGCAGAGGCATTCCGGACACGAGATCCGAAATTGATATTGTTGCCGCACCCTGGTTTGAACATCGGCCCCAACTTTTGAAAGATGTGTCGTCGAGAGAAACTGCATTCGATTTGCCCATAAAGTAGCAGTGTTGATTATGCAGCTTCCCGTCTGCTTTCCAGCTGCTTCATGAACACGCGACCTGCTAATTGCGGAAGTCCCACTTCCTGCGTAACAAGGTCCACGAATTATGAGGCATACCCTCAAAAGGCAGAGCACATAGTCTTGGCAGGCCTGGTTCAGTTCAGCAGCAGCACCTCTACCACAATTGATCACCGCCACACGGCCACCGCAACCTACTACGCCACCACCCCGACCCACCAGCACCACCACCGCCGCCAGCACCAGCACCAATACCAACACCGGAAGCAATAACAGCAGCAGCACTAGCAGCAGCGCCCCCGCCGCAAGTCCTCCTGTCCCAAAAGCACAAGCATTTCAAACAGGGCCCAAGGAACATGTAGGAAGACTGCCAATGCAATCAACTCCTCTGGCTTCAATTACATTATAGTCTCCATCATGATTCCACAATCCCCATACAAGGCTCCGGACTTCAGGACTTCAAAATAGCACCCCTACATCACCCCAGGGTGCGGCGGGCGCAGTTGGCCCTAGATTGCATGCACGGCCTGACGCTGTTCATTGGCGGCAGCCAGATAAGATTACAAATGAAACAGCTAGGATGCCAGGATGCCGTGAGCCTGGGGCCCTGGGCCTGCAGGATTTAGGGCTTTGGAGTTTGATGCTGCAGCGCCTCACGAGGTGAGGGTTTGGGAGTTTCAGGTCAACGCTTAGCGATTAGGATTTGGTTTTCGCCGCATCTACAAGCTCAAAGCTTCAGGGGCTTGAGCTTGTGGTCTTCTGAGAGACTTAGTAATAATGGAACAGAAAAAGGAAGCTACTATATTATTTAAGGTTTAGGGTTCAGGGTTTAAATCAGATTCAGCTTAGACTTTTTTACAAGGCCAGAATAGCCGCTGAACACGTCTTTGCCAGTAGAGAGGCGTGCAGCCTCAAGCCCATGCTGGTGTAGCATCTTGCGGTACTTGGTCCAAGTAAGACTATAGTTGTAACTAGTCTCTATAAAACACAACAAATGTAGGGAGAAGAGAAGCAACCCCCCAAATTGATGAAACTTGGGGACTATAGTATCCTTGCTAAAACACCGCTCAAGACTTGAAGCATGACGCTCCGCAAGTGGCTGGCTGAATTAAGTGTTTCTGTCCCGCAAGCCTTCCACAGTAAGTACATGATGCTAGAGGATACTGTAGAACCGCGCATCATCCCCATACAGTCCCATTCAAGCCCTATGAAGCCCCCATACGCCACAGTGCGCAGCCTGCGTTGTGGATTCATGCAAATATTACCCTGGAAAGGCATGTTGTTGCTGGACTCCAAAAACGGCAGTGGCTTGTTCTGTGGAATAAGCTGCTGTTAGGGTTTAGGGTTCAGGCATCAGGTCTCATGCAAGGTTCAGACTTTTGGTCCTAGGGTTCAAGGATTCAGGGCCTATAGGGCTGATGATTGGCAATGCCAAGTTTTGAATGCTCAAAGACACGGATTCCAAAGGTCTTCCATCAACCAAGACGAAGGACAGTATGAGCACTACAGCTGATGGCTGGAAGCACGGCAGCGATGCGCAACAAGAGTCACTCGTTCCGCGATACTAGCAGCACAAAAGCCTGCAACCGCAACCAGTTAATTGAGTATGTATACATATTCAAAGAGGTGTCCTCTTGGTAACTAAGGGCTTCTTCTCAAGATGCCCACAACTGGACCCATGGTTTTGAGAAACACTCATTTCATCATAACTGCTCAGACCCTCTATGGCACTCATGACTGTTGGTCACCAGGCCCCGCAGAACCTTCTACTTCAGGGTTGTAGCGTAGGCTCACCTTGTAGTTAGTTGGTTCTTGACAGGCAAGAGGCCGAAGAATCTAAGACTCAGATCATGTGCCTACCGATATAAGCCGTGGCCTACTTCCCAAAAGACGGCTAATTATGTGAAACCAAAATGCCACAGTAAAAGTCACTGCCCACTCACGAAATGTCCGCAGAGGGAAACTGGATTTTGCCTGCACGGCTTGTGGTTGAGCCGCAGCCTTGCGCGCTTGTCCCATGCCGTGGGATTGCTATTCCTCCTGCGTGAGATCGTCCAAAAACGCTACAGTACACCTTCTCTGGGGTCCTGTGCAAGCGGGGTCCGAGCATGCACAAGGATCTATTTACTGGACGGGTGGGGTCGATGAAGCGTGACGAATTCATTATTCAAAACCTTGAACCCGAAAATGCTTAAGCCCGGTGCCAGTGAAGCTCTCGCAAGATTGTTGTCAGTGGTGGGCGCAAGGAAGAGCGAGGCTAGAGGCCCTTGCACCGGCAGTGGCGTTACACCAAGTCACCTCCTCATCAGAATGACTTTGTCAGCTACTGGCCGGGAGCAGACAGGTCCCAAAACACAAGCAGGCAGGATGTAAATAGCTGATGCATCTAGGTCATAATTCGATCAATGGGACTTCTGCTCCATTGACGGCCTACGGAAAAGAGGTAATTGAGCTGGCCCGTACGTTGGAACGTGTTCAGTCGCAGCGCAGGGGCTGCGGTTTAAGGGCTTGGGCTCGCAAGTAATTAGTTGTTAATGCTAAAAAATTTGCGCCATCTCAATCACATGTAGATTCTCAGTGTTCACGCGCGGTTTGACATTGGTCTCCATTTACGAAAATATACGGCCGGGCTTCGACTGTCCCGTCAGTCATCATCAGTGATAGCTTTACCTTCAGCAACCTGGCAGGCAAAGTGTAAACAATATTCAACACTTCTGACATTCGTGGACCCTCTCACCACACACTCCACAAGGTCGCCGGCAAACAGCTGGGTATTTATGGTCCCTCCCGGACTCCTTGAATGGCTATGAAAACCTTATTGTTTTTTTTTCCCCGGGAAGACGGGCCACCTATTGGACGATTGCGTTAAGGTTTTCAAGTTTCCCTGTTCTTGAGGTTTGGGAACCCTCAGTTCAGGGGCCTTTTCAGCAAGTGTGCGTGGTAGGGTGTATGGCAACCCCTGTGAGAATAGCCTGTGAGACTAGAAGTGCTGGATGGGGGTTTGGACATATGGCAAGTAATAATTTGCTCCTCTGATCAAGGAGGAATGCGCAGCACTTCTAGCAGCTGAATTTGACAGGTTCAAGATGCGGCTCCCCGCAAACTACCAAACTAATGGGCCCCACGAGTACCATTCTTGTGTGCAGCTTTGCTTAACTCATCAAGCCTCCGGCCCCATAATTTGCCGTGTCCTGACTTCAGTGCATTCCAACGTGCATAGAAAGCAGCAAGATAAGAACTTCAAGGCCGGAAGACTGGCCATGGGGGAATTTAATTGTATTTGGCCAAGAATAATGAACACAAACAGGAGCTGTCGACCTCACTGAGTCTCAAAAACCTCGAAGCGCTTCATGCCAATCAACAAAAGTTTCTGCATATGCTGCGGAATGGTGTTCAGCATCACGGCCATGCTTGCCATTCTGGGATTTACACTGGAGTTTTTTCTCAACACCAGCCGCGCTGTGGAGCCTAGGAATAGGAGGGTTTTCCACCTGCACCCCGAAAAGGATTTACCGGGGAACTTGTGAGAACCCCCCCCCCATGCTAAACGATGAGCCTGAGCCATCCTTATAACCCCTGGCCCGGAATCATTGCAAAAGCTGACTCGCAATGCTGAAGTTCAAAAGACTGATGATAGCACTCACAAACTCCCTTGGGTTGACAGCAGTTAGAAAGACAAGGCCTAGACCTCATTTTCCATATCCTGACTTCAGATCTACTTCCGTCGGGCGAGAAGTGAAAGCTGAATCAGACGCAGAAACTCAAACCCCTAAACCTTAAACCCCCAACATTAAACCCCCTGAGCCCTTTACCCTCCAGCCTGTCCCCGCGGTTGCACTTCTTCCAGTGTCACGGCACGGCCAATGACAGTGACCTTGCTGGGCTGCAGCTAGGTAAGAATGCCGCTAATGTAGTCGCAGAAAAGAATAACAACCTGGGTGGGGAATCCGGGATTCAGAACTGAAGGTTACCGTTCAGCAGTTCAGCT